GGTCAGAAGGGGTGCGGGCACCAGGATGGCTGGGGCAGTCAGAAGGGGTGCGGGCACCAGGATGGCTGGGGCAGTCAGAAGGGGTGCGGGCAGCGGGATGGCTGGGGCAGTCAGAAGGGGTGCGGGCACCGAGATGGCTGGGGCAGTCAGAAGGGGTGCAGGCGTCAGGAGCGCTGTGGTGGTCAGAAGGGGTGCAGCACCAGGATGGCTGGGTCAGTCAGAAAGGGTGCGGGCGGGCGTCAGTGGTCAGAAGGGGTGCGGGCACCAGGATGGCTGGGGCAGTCAGAAGTGGTGCGGGCACCAGGATGGCTGGGGCAGTCAGAAGGGGTGCGGGCGTCAGCTGTCAGAAGGCGTGCGGGCACCAGGATGGCTGGGGCAGTCAGAAGGGCTGTGGCGGTCAGAAGCGGTGCAGCACCAGGATGGCTGGGTCAGTCAGAAAGGGTGCCGGTGTCAGGAGGGCTACGGAGGTCAGAAGGGGTGAAGAGCCTGCAGGGACTGGTCCAGCAGCCAGGCAGGATCGAGGTTCAGGGGAGTACATCTTCTTTATTTGACCCCCACCCCACGACAAAACGAGCACTTAACCCTTGCAGTGCCAGGATAGCCTCGCTGCAATGCAAAGTTTTATAATACATTTTTTAATGTTGACCCCCAAATAAGGCGTCACGCAGAACACGGTCAGGAAGATGGAGTATGCTTTTAAAGTAAAGAAAAGCAACGGCCTACTCTTTGAGGCACACAGCCTATTTCATTATCTGACAGATCAAATATTGCCAGATTAGTTTTGGTATGTTTTAAACAGGATACAACCCGGATTTTCGCGTCACACCGCTGCCATCTCAGCCATTGCACGCCCGCAGGGTGCTGCGCTAAGACTACATCTCCCAGCATGCACCAGCGTCTTACGTCATTAGAGGCGTGGCCGCTCCCAGAGTTGCTCGGCTAGTCATGGCGTCCTGGGCCGGAGGGGTTCGGGCAGTGCTGCTGGATGTTAGCGGGGTGCTGTATGACAGCGGGGGCCCGGAGGGGGGCGCCGCCATCCCCGGCTCTGTGCAGGCGGTGGACAGGTGAGGCGTATGAGACCAGATAGGTGGGGCGTGGCTGTAAGTGAATGGGCGGGGTCTGGGTCCGTTCTAAGGAGTGGCTTACTGTGAAGTCGGGGGGCGGGGCCAGATGCACGTGCTTGGTGTAGGCGATGCTGCTCGTCTGTCACTGCGGTGCCGGTCCGGTTGCTGACTGCGGTGATACAATATAAAGAGAGTGATGATAACCTATAGACAGATCATAACTGAAAGATCAATTACTTTATAACTGTGAAGTGAAATCTGATTGGTTGAGGCGATGATGGGTTACCGCCCAGGGGCTGACTGGCAACTTTTAGCCCAGGGGGCAAGTACAACCCAGAGGCCCATGGTGTAGCGACCTAGCCCCCCTCCCGCTCTGCCTCTCCCTCCGCCCCCACCTGCCACTTTTACCATCCATGTAATGGTATTGTGAATGCTTGGGTGATGTGAGGACTCACTATGAAGTCCATGAAAGGGGCAATTGGCTGGGGGATGGCACTCTGCTCCTGCTGGGCTCCCTACATGGTCCTGGCCTAAATCCGCTGCATTTCCGGTACTTAGGCACTCTCGACCACTGTAGGCCACTTCTGGGCTGTGAACTAATCAGAGAGGCCCGGGGGGCAATTGCCACCCTGCCCCCCGGCCCAGTCCGCCCCTGTTACCGCCCTTTGTACGTGTTTGGTCGCTAGTTCCTTTAAGGCGCGCTTGTAATAAAAGCAGCGGGAGACATTTTACATTTCATACAGATTTTTATAGGACTATTCGTATGAGATTGGAAACATTTTATAGCAATGCATGTGTCACCAACCGCTATCAAAGAGAAGCTGTCATACTGCCAGTACTGCAATCCCTGATGGATCCTCAGGGGTGGAGCCAGCTTCAGGGCAGAGCCATGTGTCAGCAGAATTAGGTACAACGACTTGCCTGTCCGGGCACTAGCACTGCTTATGGCAATGGCAGACTCCAGCATTGGGTGGGATCTTCAGCTGTAGCAGGTGCCCAGATAGCAAGCAATTGAGCTGCAAGTTTGAAAACGACTTGCTAAACTATTGCAGACTTGCCAAGCTTCACAATCTTGTTGCACAATTACAGCAAGTCTGCATTGCAAGTCTCCAGATCAATGTGCTTTGCAAAAGTGCTGTACACTTGCAGAGCTCTTGCTAAGACCTGCAGGACACTTGTTGTAGACTTGCCAAGCAAATTTGCTACAAATTCAAAAAGTGTCAACTAGAACTTGTGCTGCGAGTGTTCTGCAAGTCTATAACCTGCCAGGAATGTGTGCAGCAAGTTAACAAGAATTACAATTTAACCTTGCGGCAAGTTATCCTTGCTATCTGGGTGGCAGCTATCATGACAGGTTCTCTTTGAATGCCCCATGCCTGTAGATGTGGTGCAGCTGTAAAGTTGGGTTGATCATTGGGAACCTGACATCCAGCTAGTAAGCAGTGTGGTAATGGCATGATGCCTCCTAATGGTGGTACAGGAGACGGGGTTCAAAGTCCAGCCACTGCCCAGTCAGTATAACAATATACTCCTGTATGTCGGGGGGGGGGGGGGGGTG